CTAAGGAAAACTATAATTAATTTTTGGCATTTTAACTATTTTGTAATGTGTGCTCATGGTTCTAGTATTAGTTTCTTTCTGGTCTTTTCTCAAAATGAATCATTGCTTCGTTCAGTTCTCTTTTAAAAATACCAGCATTAATGCTAGGAACTAAGAAGGATGCAATTATATATATTTCTAGTAAAATTATAATAGAAGGGAGATACTTCGATGTTATAATTAAAAAAAGAGAAGTATAGAGTATGTACCATTTTCATTGTAAAAATCTTTCTGTACTTCTTTGAATAGAGTAAAAGTTTGAAGGATTTCTATAAAAAAAATTAACAGGGCCTCCTGATGTAGTGGCTTACCCTAGTAATCAGAACTCAAGGCTGAGGCAGGAGAATTGTTGTGAGTTTAAGGTCAGCCTAGGCTACATAGTGAATTTAAGGGGAGTCTGCCCTACCGCTTGAGATGTTGTCTTTTTAAGAAAGTAATAAAAATTTTTAAGTAATAAATAAAATGTAACACAGTAACAGTGGTTTAGTATGAAATTCTATGTAAGAGATTACTACCTCCCCCAAATTGCTCAGAGAATGAACTAGAGGTATAAACAGCCTTATCTGCTTTAAACTCCAAGGTTACAACCTGCTCTGTTTGAGTTAGCATTGTTTTAATTGCCTAGGTGCTCGACACCTTCTGGACACAATTGGTATTTCGCCATCTGGAGATAATACAGGAAAATCAGAATTGTTTATAAAAACTTGTCTTTTATAAACTCAGCCCTAAGTGGGTTATCTCCATCAAATCCCTCCCCTCAGAGCGCAGAAAATCCCCTGGAAGAGAGACAGAGAGATTATAAGAGCCAGAGGGGAAAGAAAACACCAAGAAAAAAGGCCCTCTAAATCAACACAAGCAAAGCTCATTTGAACTCAGAGACTGAAGCAGCTTGCATAGGGCCTGCATGGGTCTGCACCAGGTCCTCTGCGAATATATTATGGCTTCCAATTTAATGTTTTTATGGGACTCCTGAGTGTGTGAAAGAGTGAGTCTCTGATTCTTGGCCTGTTCTTGGGCTCTTTTCGTTCTGTTTGTCTGTCTTGTCCAACTCCAATGTGGTAATTTTTTCTCTATCTTATTATATTTTATCTTGTTATATTTTATTATTGTCTTTTAAAATCCTGTTCTTTTCTACTGAGAGACATAAAGGGAATGGATTGAGATGGGAGAGGAGGTGGGCAGGAACTGGGAGGAGTACAGGAAGGGAAAACAGTAATCAGGATATATTATGTGAGAAAACAAACAATTTTCAATTAAAAAATAAAGATTTTGGGGGAAAACTTGTCTTTTAAATTTAATGTTTAATTTTGAAACTCATGGGTCACAATCATATTCTTTAGACTAGGAGAGAGAATACTTTAATGTAAACAGAGGCTATATACTTGTTGTTAGTAAGGAAAATTATGAAATAGGTCTACATGGAAATGTCTGTAGACATTTATAAAAGAGCCTGGAACAACAGGCAGAAGAATTACCTTTGGAGAAAGAGAGAGAGCAAAGTTATGCATCAGCTAAAAGAGGACTTCACATTTCTCTTCTTTTTCTTTCTTTCTTTTCTTTTTTCTTTTTCTTTTTTTTTTTGTTTTTAAGACAGGGTTTCTCTGTGTAGCTTTGGAGCCTATCCTGGCAGTCGCTTTGGAGACCAGGCTGGCCTCGAACTCACAGAGATCTGCCTGCCTCTGCTTCCCGAGTGCTGAGATTAAAGGTGTGGGCCACCAACGCCCGGCTAGGAGTTCACATTTATAAAGGGAGAATGAATGTATAATTTGTATAGCTTAGCACTAATCATAAATGCAAAACTAAAGTGAACTAGGAGCTGGAGAGATGGCTCAGCAGTTAAGAGTAGTGACTCCTCTTCCAGAGGACCTGGGTTCAATTCCTGACACCTACATAGTATCTGTAACTCTGGTTCCAGGGGATCTGATGCCTTCCTCTGGCTTCCATGGGCAGCAGTAGACACACAAATGGTACAGATACACATTCAGGTAAAACAGCTATACATTAAAATTAAAATTAAAAAAATAAGGAAAACTGTTTACAAAGGAAAAAGGAACCAAACTCCCCCTCCTTTTCCTCACATGACAAACCCCATTATGTAATCATAATTATTTCTGAGTTACAGCAGATATAGTAAAAAATCCTACTATAGAAGAAAAGTATTGACCCATATAGCCTGCTTTTCTGTGTCCTAGTACTCTCTCTCTCTCTCTCTCTCTCTCTCTCTCTCTCTCTCTCTCCCCTCCTTCTCCTTCTCTCTCCCTACCCCAATATATAATCAAGTACCCAGGAAAAGCATAACTTGAATTGTAAAGTGTTTTGAGTTATCAGGGCTGGAGCTTGTTTCATTTAATTCCCAGGCATGAATAATTAAAAATATTAATGCTTGTGACCTACAGGAATAAGGTCCCATGGTAGATATAAAGATTCTTTCTAGGGAAGTGAGTTTGGAGTAATTGGCCAAAAGCCATCTCAGGGGAATCTTTTAAGGGCTTTACTAATCCCAGATTGGCATCAATTCATTGTCAGAATAGACTATCTATTACTTTTAAGGATTCATGTGGTCTAAAGCAGGCAGGCCTGGCCTTGGAGTATGAAACCAAGATGTAAGTGGTAATATTTGAGGTTTTAGCTCTTTAGTGGTTTGGAGCTAGGACCTTGGAATGAGACTAACCTTGGTTCCAATTCCCATTAAGCCTCTGACAAATTGTGTGACCCTGTGCAAGTGAACAGAATATAAATGGCTTCTTCATAGAGCTCCAGGAAGGAAAAGAAGAAATCAGAACAAGGTTACTGTAGCTCTACTACATAGCCAGGAATCCAGCTAATGTGGAGGCCTGCTAACTTTTTTTTTCTGAGTCCCAATTAAATGTTAAGATTGCTTCCTTTGAATCATCAAAAGCCAGATGTCAAGAAGGCTTTTGTGGGTATCTGGGGATCTTTACTGTCACAGGAAATGACTTTAAATCCTTCTCACTGATATTTACTGTTTTTCTTCTTATTAGTGTTGTCTTGAGACACAGTTTCACTGTGTAGCCCAGAGTGCTAGTTAGTTTTTTATTAACTTGGTACAAGCCGGGGTCATCTGGGAAGAGGGAACCTCAATTAAGAAAATGTCTATTGTATTGGCCTGAGGCAAATCTATGGGGGCATTTTCTTGGTTACTGATTGACAAGGGAAGGCCAAGCCTTCTTGGGTCTTCTTGGGTGGTGCTACTCCAGGGCAAGTGGTCCTGGGTTACATAAAAGAGCAAACTGAACAGATAAGAAAGCAGTGGTCCTCCATGGTCTCCTTTTCTTCTTCTTCTTCTTCTTCTTCTTCTTCTTCTTCTTCTTCTTCTTCTTCTTCTTCTTCTTCTTCTTCTTCTTTTCTTCTTCTTTGGTCTCTGCTTCTATTCCTGCTCTAACTCATACCTTGACTTCACTGGGTGATGCACTGGAAGGAAACAAACAAACAAACCCTTTTCTTCCCAAGTAGTTTTTGGGCATGGTTTTTATCACAATAAAAAGCAAAGTAGAGCACCTAGTCTGGCCTGGAACTCATTATATGGATGACCCTAGTCTAAAAGTTGTACAATCCTCCTGCCTCTGCTTCTTGTGTGTGAGGAGATTACAGGTGCAAGCCACTGAGCCCAGCTATTCCACTGACATTCACAGACAGGGAATTCATACTTGTCTCCAAGTTACTATTTTTAAGATGAAACACCATGACCAAAGCAAACTGAGGAGGAAAGGATTTATTTGACTTATTTTTACAGCTGTCTATCATTGAAGGAAATCAGGACAGCAACTCAAACAGGACAGAAACCTGAAGGGAGTTGATGCAGAGGTCATGGAGGAGAGCTGCTTACTGGCTTGCTCCTCATGGCTTTCTCAGCCTGCTTTTTAATAGAACCCAGGCCCACTAGCCCAGAGATGGCACCACCCACAAAGGGCTGGACTTCGGCCATCAATCACCAAGAAAATACCCTACACATTTGCCTGATTTTATAGAGGCATTTTCTCAAGTACGGTTTCTTCCTCTCAAATGTCTTTAGCTTGTGTCAAGTTGACATAGAACTAGCCAGTGCAATGCTAGATATGTACTGTGCTAGTTCCTCGAAGTAAAAGGAATGAGAGGGAAGGATGCCTAAGAGAATACATGAGGGGAGTGGGAGACACGTGGGAAAGGCGTTGGGAGAGTGAGGATCACAGAGGAACTAAAAAGAATACTTGAGTAAAGAAAAAAGACAAAAGACAGCTTCTGACGCATGTAAGAAAAGAGAAAAATGCAACAAATAAAAAGGAAGGACAATTCTTGAGAGTGGGCACTGACTAGGCGTCTGGATTCTGATCCTGTTAAACCTCTCTCAGCCCACTTTTCCTTGGGGTTTGTAGTGTGGGTTAGATTAGAAGACTGATGCTCTGTTAATGAGAAAACTATTCAAAGAAGGGTTACTGAAGGGGAGAGGAAGCTGAGGGAGGGGGCCAGCAGTGAGAACTGAAGGAAACCTCAGAGACAGGGACAATGTAAGTAGCTGTGGCTACTGCAGAACCTGCTCCCACTTGCTGAGTGGAAGGGTACAGCGCTCCTCCTGGATAACTTTATGCCATCCTAGCAGCATCTGAGGAGGCTGGACTAATATTATTCTCCTTTTTATGGTAGAGGTTTTCCTAAGGTCGTACAATTGGGAATTCAAATACACCTTGTTTACTTGAAAAAACCGAGGCAATCAAAAGAATTTCTAAGCCTCTCCATAGGCTCTCAGTGAGTCTAAAGTGATCTGGTGTTCCGGTTAGTCCGCAAATTTCCGGGTTAGATTTCCAGTTCTTCCAAAAATTCCCTCAGTCGAAGCCTGGCTCCAGGGCATCCTTTCCCTTTCTAGTCAGTTTGAAAACTCCGCCTAGCCAGGGAAAGCGTCCCGTCTCCAAGGAGACTGGCGCAGGAGAGGACTTCCGGCCTCACGCGCACCCACTTCCGCCTCGGGCCGGAAGCGCTGAAGCCGGCGGCGTGGGTCTGGTGCTCCGGGACCTGGCGCGTGCGTAGCGGGGCCCGTGGTGGCTCCCGGAGCGCGCGGCGATGCTGACCCCCGCGTTCGAGCTGAGCCAGGACAGCGAGTTCCTCACGGTCGCCATCCGCATCCCGCACGCGCGTGCCTCCGAGTTCGACGTGTACTTTGAGGGGGTGGACTTCAAGTTCTACGCCAAGCCGTACTTTCTGAGGCGAGTTCCCGCCGCCCGCGCTCGGCGTTTATTCAGCACCCCGCGCGGGCTCTTGAGTCAGTCCGTGCCTCGTGGACGCACTCGCGGCTCTCTCGCTGCTGCCTCCTCGGCGGCTTCT